AGTTAAGGTCAGGTTAGACCGAGCCACATCAGCTCCTGTGAGTTCGGATCGAGTTCAGGAGAATCACGTTAAGTCTGGAGGGTAGTAGTGTCGGATAGAGTCGTCGGACACGGCCAGTGACGACGTCGTTGGTCACGGCTAGCGATACTGGGCCTCGCTAGAAGGGGTGTTGGCTACTAGCAAGTTGTATTGGCCCCAGCCACTGAGGGACGCCTGGCCCAGCGGTCTCTTCAGACACCAAATACCAGCAGGCAGCTTTCCGAGGAAAAAACAAACTTTCTACGTTAAATTAATGCAATAATGACCCGTCTAGCAGTAAATATTAAGAACAATTAAGGGAATCTACGGATGTTATCACATCGCACAAACTACTACTGATGACGTAGATCAGTCCTGGCGCCGTGCTCCGTGTGGCTCACATATGTATATTGACGTAAACCAAGCATTCCCCTAAATGGTCCACCAAAGCTACATGTTGACACACGTTAAACGTATTCAATTGGTCACATGGATTATTATGAGCAAGTGGACTCGTGTTTAATTTTTATTATTCACTAATAAGAAAGACATACTGTGCAACGAATCATAGATAAAGAGTGATCTAGGCTTCAGAAATATATTTTCGTGTCGGTCCGTGTCCCTATGTGTATGTGTGTATATTTATATATATATACAAGGGCGCAGGACCGGACCCCCACAGGTGCTTGGGCTTTCTGCAACATTGTAGGAAGCACCGACCTAACCTTAGACCCTAATAATAATCAATCTATGCTGACAGCCGCTGTGTTTGCCGGAGTAACTCTTCATCCTCTAGTGTGTGGGCTTCGAACGCGCAAGCCTCGAGTACTCTGAATATAAAACTAATCAGATCGCTGGACGACTCATCAGACATATGAGGCAGACAGCTCTCGAATCGATCTCGATCCTCACCAGAGGACATGGAACGCCTCCCGTAAACACTCCTCGCTGTCAGCTTCTGCAGCAGCACGTCTCCGTGTTAAATGGATTGAGATACCTCAACACTATGTAAGCATCAAAAAATTATATATATATATATATATATATATATATATATATATATATATATATATATATATATATATATATATATATATATATATATATATGAAAGACTGCAGGGCAAGGATCCGGTGACGGGCGACAATACAAGCTTTACTCCGTCTGAGATTTGCGTCCGTAGTTGTGAAGAGGCGATGGGGGAGGCGGCAGGAGGCGAAGGCGGCGGCGGAGCAGCAGCAGCAACCGGAGAAGAGGTGCTGGCTGCCTCCTCTGCCGTCGCCTCCGCCCGGAGCACCGCCCCGCCTACCACAAGTTAACCAGAGTGACCAGACCTCGGTGCGAACTTGTGCCATTTCTGTTAGACTTGTTCATTATCATGTTTGAAGTCTATCTTGTGAAATACTATTTTGTATTGGAGGACAATATTTTCATAACAGATCAATATTAAGAAGCAAGGAACACCATCCCCTGTAAAACTGTGTAATATAATGCCGTTCAAGTTTCAAGTATAAATGATGATGTTTTCTTTCTAACTCTCAATTATTTACTTGCATGTAAATAAATGCTATATAGTTAACTAAATGTAGTTTTTATCATCCCTTGCATTACTAGCCTCCAAGAGCCACAAGCAGCCCACGATTGATGTGAATATCCCATAAGTTTATGATTTATATGGGTATCTCTATTTCTCCCATTATACCTATTAAATTCAGCAGTGCCAACCGGTATTCAACATAAAAAAGGATCTGATGATCAATGTTAATAAATACATAAATAACCAGTAACTGGACATATATATAAACCAGTAACTGAACATATATATAAATGTGGCAGATGGTTGCCACGTTCTGCTGGATGGCTGACCACATTCTGCTGGATGGCTGACCACATTCTGCTGGATGGCTGACCACATTCTGCTGGATGGCTGACCACATTCTGCTGGATGGCTGACCACATTCTGCTGGGGGTTGGGGGGTTGGGGGGTTGGCCACCCAGCTAGAGAGAGGAGATTGCCAGAGATGACCAAGTGAGGCTCGCCGTCGTGGAGAGAGAACAGCAGCAGTCCTGAGGTAGCCAGACGCCTGTGTACTGGTTTACATCACGTATGAAACCTGATCACTAAAAACATATTATTGTGTAATGTGTGAGGGTGATTGCCGACATTTTAGGGGAGACTTGCCAGATTATGAAGACACAAATGCAAAAAGTTGCAGACAATTAGACACCTAACCCACAAGCCTAAAAATTTTGAGGGAAAAAATACTTTGTCTTAAAAAATTCTTCATCTTATTAGAGGGCATGATGAGCAAGAAAAAATGCGTGATCAGTACCGTGTTTTACGATATATTAAGAATTAGTTTTTTTCAGAGTCGAGCCGGAATGCAAGAGTTGTCATAAGAATCACTACAGTAGCGTGTGCCACATAGCACTCGCATCAATGGAGCCGACCATAAACGGCACCATGTTTGGCACGTACCCCACTGCAACGACCGTGCAAAGTTTGGCGAAGATAATACCCAAGCGGCTGACCTTCAACTTTGGACAAATATACAGGCATTCAATGTTATATAGATTAGATACACTAAGGTTATAAACACTTAACCATTTTTGTGTTAATATTTATTTGTGTTTGTATAGAAAGAGCAGTATGAGACTGTTCATTATTCTGAGTTTAAGTTACGCTAATTAGAGCTTTATTAAATCTCTCAGAGATATATAAGCCTGGTGCTTATAAAAAGGAAAATATATGGGTGAGGATAGTGAGGCAAAGGTGGGGGTGAGGCTATAAATATGTGGGATTATGTGTTACAAATTATATTTTAAAATTATTAACTTAGCAATAAGAGCATCAATGCCTCCATTCATTTCTCTGGTGATGAGGCGTTAGATGACTGCAGAGTCATCTGGTTGTGTCGTAATACTGCTTGCTTCTATCACGTTAAATTTTGCGTCCCTGAAGATCACTTGTTGCTCCTGGTTCCTGTGGGAGACACGAGCGTTGTTGGGGCTATCAACAAGGCAGGCACACGTATGTTAGTGAATTCTAGCATGTTTGATTCAAGAAATTTTAAGCATATTCGGTCACTTTTATTATAGGATGCACTATAAACCCCGCCGCGGAGGCCTTGTTCTTCCTGCTTCTGATATGGATATAGTCTGGATTCGACGTTATGTTCACATCGTCAATTTTGGCTTTATTGCAGATGTTCGCAATTGCGTTTACTCTCTAACTCTGTTTTGCTTGTTGGTGATGACCTTTGTTACTTATCAAAGGCAAAACTATCAACAACGAGATCACCCTGGCAGGGGTTTGCGTAGGACATGTGCATGAATGAAAGATTAATTCATTGAGGGTATAGAGAGTACATGGTACTAATGCCAAACACAAACAATACCCATGAGATCTTTGTAATATTTGACACGCCTTTATTCCCTTTTCCTTCCCAATCATAATTCTTGTTATTGGCTACTTTTCTGCCTTCCTCTCCTCCCCTACATAATTCTCCTTCCCGTTATACTCTTGCTTGCTCTTTTTACCTAACTCTACTCTCCATCCTTCATCCCATTCAAAGCGAAATCTTTCCCAACACATTTTCCCAAACGTTTCCATCCTCTGTCTCCACACCCAACGAGCCAGAACCTACCCTTATGTCTAGATTTCATCTTCCACTTACAAACAACTACCATTTCCTCAAGCCTGCTCACTGTTTCTATCCCAAATACAACGTATTTTAAACACACATTTGCAACTAGTCTTATACCTATTCTTCAACACTGCAAAAATCACCTCCTTTACCTGCACCCAAATCTCTATTTACCTCAACTCTTCTTTGACACCAACTCCTCTCTCCAATTTCTTTCAGTGCTTATCCACCATCCAACACCCAGTTCAAGTGAAATCTCCACATTCTCTGCTACCTCACCCCTCGACCTAATAATCCAAATAGGACTCACGCCATTAACAAGAAAGTCCTTGATTGTTATCCACAATCTCCAACCTCTCTAGTGAAGGACTTTCCTCCTCTTCACAATTATTTACACCTGCACCTTTGAACTCCCCCCCCCCTCTCCTCGAAAGACAGATAAAATACGATAAATGACTGTGATCTTCTAGGAAAAACTGTAAACAAAGACAAGGAGGAAGATTTAAAACTCTAGATAAATAATAACTAGAACTTAGAGAACTCTGAAGCAGCGACCATAAGCGCCAAATATACATACATACATGCCTCATTACATACGAGAACACATACCTCTATACAAACGGGAACACGAAGACATCGAGAAATCATGCATAGAATTAAAGTCAAAGTACTAATTGTTGGGAACTTCAACAATAGAGGCAGACTGGTAATCCCCATAAAATGACTGAAGTCTTTGGTGTAAAATTAGTGAAATCTGTGATAAAAAATTGGCCAATGCAGCATCACAAAGAATATACGAGAAATAGGCGAGGGGATGCACCTTTCAGGCTGGGGAGAGGAGATAAACTACCTCCGAGAAATGGCTTCAAGAACTTAATACCAGTAATAAAAAATGTATATATTTGAGATAAAATTAAAACACTCGGGATAATTGATGAGGTAGAAAAACTGAAAATTTTTAAAAATTAACAACAACAGACTGAAAAGACGCAAATGGAAGCTTGAGGAGTAGAGGAGTCCAAGAAATAGTGAGCAATTATTTTTACACATATAGCAGAAAAATAAAAAAATAAAATCGAGAACGTAGTAGAAAATCACTCCAGACTCAGTATCAAAAGTCGATATGGTTAGAGTAATATAGATCGGAAGTCACTGAATCCTGTGACCAACAACAGGAAAGAGGAATACCAAAGAAATGCAAAAATAAATAGGAAAATATAAATAGGTAAACACACACACATACACACCCACACACACACACACACACACACACACACACACACACACACACACACACACACACACACACTACAGTTATGGTATAATCAATCGGTACACCGGTGCTTCAATAAAACTCGCTTTCTAATCGTTAAAATCACATATATCTTTAGGTCAGGCTGGCTAGACTACACAAGATTTGGTTGGGCTAGGTAACGTAAGGTCAGCTTAGAAAACCTACTTTCAAACCGTCTTGGGTACAATGCAAGACTTTGTATCCTTACCGTTGACCGGAGTAAAGGTGTATGAGAGCGTGAAGCCTGGCCTGACCACGGAGGAATCACTGATGAACCTCACAATCACCCGGCGGCTATAGGTGCTGAAGCCTCCTGGCAGCCTCGTCCCACAATACCTCCGACTGGGGAGCAGAAACCTATATTAGCACACTGTCGATGAAGTACAAAATATTCCAATTCAAATCAAATCAATAACTATATATACGTGATGTGCAAATTGTTTTATAGATCTAACCAATATTTTTCTTACAACGATGACAAAAATTGATGAATATACTGTGTAACTGGATACAATATTGGTAATACGTTGATAGTTAAAACAGTGAAGTGAACACAGATATATTTTATTAAACTCTATTGTGTTTTACAATTAACTATGTTCATCGCTTTTAAATTTTTCAAACATTACAAGTGGAAATATTCCAATTTATTCAAATCTAATTCAAAAATGTCATGAGTATAACACATTAAATCCATTAGGGAATCCAGTTGTCCCTTAGGAAATCTACACGTCCCTTAGGGCATCCACGTGTTCTCGACGGCTTCCTAGTCTTTCCTTGGACATCCAATTGTCTACGAAGATACCTATTTATCCACAGGAGGCACCCTTAACAAATAGCAACTGCCATTCTCAATAGAAACTTTCATTTATTCACATAGTACCCATTCACTTGGACTGGTCGTGCAGTGACAACCCCGCTTCTAGCAAGTCGACCCTCCTTGGTCCAAATAGTCAGTGCTTTCTCCCTTACCTTACCTTATCCCCAGAGTAATTTACCAAAAGTTAGCTATCCTCATAATTAACTAATTAGTTCTCGGACACAAACATATGTTGTGCTTACATGATATTCTGACAACAGTTACCGACATCAGCAGCGTCTGAGGAAGATTCTCGTATCTCAACGTAATCGTACTGGCACTCTGCTTGGGCTTCCAAATCAAAGGAGAGCCAGGTGATGCGGAGAACAGTGCCAGGGGGTGCCACGAGTTGCCACTCACATCTCTGGTTGTTCTGGTAGTAGGAGCTGGTCGATCCCGCGCTGAAGATGCCAGAGAGTCCATCTATCTCTGTCAGTGGTCAGGAGAGGTCACTTGCTGGGTTACATACTAACTACCTAACTTTAAAGCAGGTTAAAGACAGTTCAGAGTTACTTGAAAATGACCAACTCTATGTGAACCTAAAGAAGCTCCCAGGTAAAGTATTGTCTATTTGGTCAATGGTGACTCTAAATGGGTTTAGGTGACATGCATAGGACGAGAAAATGAGTCGATCCTGAGGTAGACGTTCGGCTGTCATAGGTATGACAACCTGGAATAATACAGGACACGAGGGGGAATAATGAAGCCTGGCTGATTTTCAATTAACTGTAATTTAATTGAAATACGTTTAAGGTATAATAATATATTTTTATTTATTTACAATTTGAATACTGATAAAATCTTTAATTCAAAACAGACAAAAGACTCCAAGATAAATAAAGTGTATTACAATTAGGAAAAAGTTGAAACTAACATATTCAGTTTTAAATGTGAAGATGAAAGGCAAAATAAGAGCCTTGAGTCACTGCATTAAATTACTAATATTTCAAAAACAGAGCTTAATTTAGGTAAGTACATCCAAGCGAGTACATCTAGTACACACAACTCAACCATGACACTCAACAATACACTTCTAATCCTACCAAACTCAAATAAATTGAATATATATATTGTATACACACACACACACACACACACACACACACACACACACACACACACATATTTATATATGTGTGTGTGTTTGTGTGTGTGTATATGTATTAAATAAAATTAAAATAGACATGCATGGACGCTAGACACGAAGACGAACCTCAGGGATGTGTCTTCTTCCACTTGCTTATTACTCTTACACTTCAGTGTAAGAGTAATACGTAAGTGGAACGAAGAAAAGTGGGAACAGCAGAGGGAACCTCCATCTATATACCTTGTCTAGTGCTGCAGGACGCCTCCTCGTTAGGGAAGATGGGAGGGCCGCTGGTAGGGTTGCTGGGAGGGCCGCTGGGAGGGAAGCTGGGAGGGCCGCTGGGAGGGAAGCTGGGAGGGCCGCTGGGAGGGAAGCTGGGAGGGCCGCTGGGAGGGAAGCTGGGAGGGCCGCTGATGTCTATGATCCCGTCTGGCGCCGGAGATGGGGTTGAGCCAGCACTCCACGTTACTGCAAGCAATCATAATACACACACTTTATTATACGTATCAAACTGAATTATAAACACACTGGAACAAATATATGATCATATAAAACTTTAATATAACTATATATATATTTCATTCATTTAGATATTAGGGGCGATGAATGGTCGACTAATGAAGGCAAGATATATGAAATATTGTAAGCTAATAAAGATAGGCCCTTGATAAACGTAAACACTTCTACTGAACATAATACATTCGTCACAATATCTATGAGAATATTAGGTGGAATAGAAGGCCATACCAATGGGCGCCCGAATAACGGTGTAGGAGAGAGTGAAGCCTGGCCTGACGCCAGAGCCATCACTGTGGAACCTCACCACCACCTGTGAGCCGATGGTACTGAAGCCTCCTGGCAGCCTCGCCCCACAGTTCCTCCAACTGGAGACAGACAATATAAATTGCGAAGCTGTGCTTAAGGACCACCATGCGTGATTTATGTCAATCCTTAGCATTAGTGTGAGCCATTGAGAATTCATCGATCCCTAAATTACCATCAATTCACATATCTCCGGCTAATATTGCACAATGGGAAGATAAACCTTTTTATTTTACATAAAAGTCATTAATTAGCTTGCTTTTTGAACTTGTATTTAAAAGGTCATATGTAACACGAACAAGGACCAACAGTTTCAAGCTCAAACCATAATGTAGTATAGAAACATGAGATGTTTTTTTCAGCCATAGGGTTATAGACCAATGGAACCGCCTACCCAGCGAAGCCATAAATGCATTAACATTGCTTCAGTTCAATATCCAGCTGGATAAAATTATAAGGATAAATGGGAGGATCTTTGACAAGCCACCGGCTTCCTGACCTCGTCGAGGCCACTAGTGAGGCCAGCCCTCAGGTAAATTCAAGTACAAAATAATGAGTTTAAACCTTAATTTTTTGTTATTTCTTATGTAACCCAGTTTTCCTTTCATTTTTCTCAAATATTCATAACAAAATGAAAAATTAAGGGTTAACTACTTATCCAAATTTCAGAAGCTATCATCGATATCTGAATTTTTTAATGTGATTTTCCTTCGAAAAGGTTTCCATTTCGGTTATACTTTAGACCCCTCATGTAAGTTGACCAGACCACACACTAGAAGGTGAAGGGACGACGACGTTTCGGTCCGTCCTGGACCATTCTCAAGTCGTTGACCTCAGCGCCTCAAAATCGACTTGAGAATGGTCCAGGACGGACCGAAACGTCGTCGTCCCTTCACCTTCTAGTGTGTGATCTGGTCAACAATAAACTTTATTCTCCATTACACTACTGGATAATGTTTAAGTTTCAAGGGCGTTTATTTCCAAGCATTATGAAATTCAACTTACGTTGCTAAGATCTGACCAGTTGTGGAGACGTCCTGTATCTGAACATAGTCCCTGGAGCACTCATCATCGTCTTCCAGGTCAAAGGAGAGCCAGGTGATGTGGAACACGGTGCCACGAGGTGCCTGGAGCCACCACTCACAGTCCTGGTTGTCCAAGTAGGTCTCGGTAGTTGACCCCACGCGGATCACGCCCGAGGTTGACCCCAGCGCCTCTGTATGGGGCGGGGTTCAAGGATGATGAATTCGTATTTATATGATGAGGTTCATATTAGGGACGTATTTAAATGATGAATATGTATGCAAATGGTTTGATCCAACATTCAAGGAGATTAGTTTAATGACGTCAGTTATAGGTAACTAAAAGACTGGCAGGGGTGATTATAGGTCAAAAGTCATGGTTGAGGCCAATTTCTCAATCATTTAAATAAATATCGCATTGTGAACATTTATGTACTGTACATCAATCAAGTTAATCTTTCCTTATTTTTCGAATTTCAGATACATTTATCAACAACTAGAGTGGTGATTGATTCTCTATTATGCACCCCATACTCATCCCGTGGGTGATGGTGGAAAGGGTTACACAGGCACATAATCGGTTCAGAAACTGAACCCCATAGTTCATTTAGCTAAGCAAGTGACAATCTTTTGAAGCTATAGTTACACAATCGTTAATGTTATATATACATGTACATATATATACAATCATTTACACAAATACATGTACACATCGATAATCTTTTTATATCATAAGTGATTCAACAAAAGGCTCACAACAGTCACTATACAAGGCACTTTGCATCTATGGTGAGTCACACAGTTACTAGTCTTGCTCCACACCCACCAAACTGGGCGGCAGCTTTACAGTCATGCATGCACTATCTTACAGAAAGCAAATTTTGGATACTTCGGTAAGATTCCCGGCAGTACATCGTTTTGAATGAAGTACTTACACATTTCTTGGGCTCCATTGATGGTGTTATCTCTGAATTCTGCGATTTTTTCACATTCCAAATAGTCAAGCATGTAACTCTTATTCGCAGGCCTTATTCTGCATTCGTATACATAATGGTTTACAATCACGTGTACTCGTATACATAATAGTTTACAATCACTTGTACTCGTATACATAATAGTTTTCCTAATATTGTTTTTACTATAATATTGTAATTCCATTGGAAAATCAACAATTTAAAATTTTTATGCTATGTAATATATAATATTTTTGTTTTATACAAGTATATGTAATAAATGGTAAAACAGTAGAGACAGAGAAGTCTGACCTTGAGGGTATGCGCAGGACGATGGGTCTGGAGCCACAGAATCATTTGAAGCATACCAATTCTCAGTGTCAGATCCTTCTGTGGTCAAACTTTCAGAGTAGTCATCATCTGTATTAAAGTCTCCAGTGTCGGATATTTCAGTGTTAGAGTCCCAAGGAATCCAGTCCGGGGCACTGCTGCTCTCAGTGGCTGAATCCTGACGTGACTAGAAATGAACAGGAAAAGCAAAAAACATGTATGCATTGTATTACTATTTTGTGATTATGATTGTGATGCCCGAAACGCTTTGCGTAATAATGGCTTTAGGCATTGTATGTACTAGCTATACCTATAAGTCAAACAATCCTTGTAAATATTTATTGTATGTATGTACCTTACCTAAATAAAATTGTATTGTATTGTAATTGTATTATTTCCCATCCGCCTTCAAGGATGCTAAACCGGGCTTGTCGAAAGCGCCAGGCCCACTAAAGACACAAATTGAATCTTGTCACTGTTTTCATCAATTCATCAGTAAAGCACAAACACAAACTAGCATTTAGTCACGTAGATGATAATATTCTTGATGAATCTTTAGGGAAGATCGAGTCCAGCATTTAGTGATATTAGTAATTGATGTAGCTTGCCATTTCAGGCAAAGGGGGACATGGATTTCGACTCCCACCTGCTTTTGACTATCCGCAAAACAACCACCAGTCACCCTGCAAACTTTGGTGAGACTAGCCCTAAGCGTCTGTCCTCGATCCTCGAACAAATATACATTTTCTTCCATTGATATAGAAGAACGTTCTTCCTTTCCCCCGTCCCGCCCTAAATCCTGATTCCTTCCCAGGGCTATATAGTCGTAATGGCTTGGCGCTTTCTCCTGATAATTTGCATCTCCCTTCTACAGATATAGATAAGACAATGCGTAGTAAAGATGGCTGCAGTGATACAGGAAAAGTGGTGAAAGAGAGGGAAGGTTGTGACGGAGATGGAAGATGATGGACAGGTCAAGGTGATGATGGTTGAGGACGGGGTAGTGAGGAAGGCTACAGTGATGAATAGAGCGTGTAGTGAAGATGTAGACCCGAGCAACGCCGGGTATACCCTCTGATGTGAGTGTGTGTAGTTATAGCCCAAGTTAGCCGTACTGAAATTAAAGAGGTTTTGTAAATATAAAATAATTATCAAATGACGGCGTCAAGCAGAAAAGACTATGTAGCACTCTGTGTCGCTGGATATATACAAAAGGTGCTAAAAATCATCTCAAGACGCCAGTTCGAAAGCAAAAGACCACAAGGCGAACACAGGTATCGAACGCGCCAAGTGTTCCAAATAGAGACAAATGACTTCCCCTTCGGAAAGGGAAGGGAACTATCAGCGGAAAGCACCAAGCCATTACGACTATATAGCACTACGAAGGTGTCAGGATAAGGATTTGGGATCTGACGGGGGGGGGGGGGAGGGGGGGAGGAATGGTGCCCAAGCACTTGGACGGTCGGGGATTGAACGCCAAATTGCACGAAGCGAGATCGTCGCTCTACCGTCCAGCACAAGTGGTTGGATGAAATCGACCCCCCTGGGGATAATTGAAAAGCAACACTTATTGTTGTGATGATTTTAGTACATATGTATGTATACTTAGTACATATGTATATTTAAATACATGGGAAGAGGGGTGTTTGTCACCATACCCGGCAGTGAACTGATTTCATACTACCAATGTTACCAAGCGTACTTTTTTTTTTTACATTGTGGATTATTTGTTTACTAAATCCAAATCGGCGGATTTAGTAACTAGGAATCATAGTATCATTTTGTGCGTCGATAGTAGGATGACAGAGAGCGTGAATGCAGGAGTAGCATATACGTGTGAATAGCTGGTTAAGAAATACGTGAGCACAGTCAGTACAGATGTTGTATGTTGTCTCTTGTGTGGCGCACGAGGAGAGGCCTCGGCTGGCTGGTGGGAAACTGAATCCAGTGGGCCCTATACCCACCCATGAGTACCGGTAACTCAAGTGTAGAACTTAAAAAATATGGTAAAAATCTATGCAAGAATCCTAGATCTAATCCTTTCGTTCATATTCAATAACACACAATTTCTTACACTTACACACACAGATTTTTCCATGACTTTCAGCCTACCTTACAACCAGGCACCCTGAAAGAGTTAGAAATTTCCGTGCTTGGCTTACCTTAAGCTTGACTAATTTGGAGGCTGAGGCAGTATCGGTTGCGACCAGAGAGAGCAGCAGCAGCAGGAGCAGCAGACGAGCGCGCCGGTAATGGGTGTTGAAGCACACCATTGCTGCCAAGACCCGGAGGAGGACGACAGCTGGTCGCTTCACTCCAATATTTACCTTTACGATCGCGTCGACCTGGTATTTAACCAGCGTCGAGCGAGAGGGGGCGATGGAGGGAGGGAGCATAGAGGGGGAGAAGGAGGGAGAATATAGGGGGGAGAAGGAGGGAGGATACAAAGGGGAGGAAAGGATTTGATGTTTTTTTATGTGAGGGGGGGGGCTGGTCACGTTCTATGGGACAGAGATAGGAAAAAAACACAAGAGCTACATAGCGGAAGATAATAATGATAATCATATTATTCCAATTCTTTATGATAACCTTCTTTGTCACCTTATTCATAGGCTGTTCGACGCCCTGCTCCCAGCCGGACGTAGGAGTCACGAACACTCACTCACTCACTCACTCACTCACACGTAGCTGAGTTAGGGGTCTGGCAGCTGAGTGGACAGCGTGCAGGACTTGTAATCCTGTGGCCCAAGTTCGATTCCCGGACCAGGCAGAAACAAATGGGGCAGAGTTTCTTTCACACTGATGAGCCTGTTACCTAGCAGTAAATAGGTACCTGGGAGTTAGACAGCAGTTACGTGTTGCTTCCTGGGGGTTGGGGGGTGGTGTGTGTGTGTGTGTGTGTGTGTGTGTGTGTGTGTGTGTGTGTGTGTGTGTGTGTGTGTGTGTGTGTGTGTGTGTGTGTGTGTGTGGGTAAAAAAATTAGTAACAGTTAGTTGTAGTTAGTTGAGAGACGGGCCGAAAGAGCAGAGCTCAACCCCCGCAAGCACAACTAAGTAAATACACTCTTGCCAGTCAACATATATGTAGAGCGCTCCAGGTACCGAACAAAATAATTAAAGCAAGATTTACACGCTTCCAAAGGTCAGAAAGTGTCCCCAAAGGTCAGAAAGTGTCCCCAAAGGTCAGAAAGTGTCCCCAAAGGTCAGAAAGTGTCCCCAAAGGTCAGAAAGTGTCCTCAAAAGTCAGAAAGTGTCCTCAAAGGTCAGAAAGTGTCCTCAAAAGTCAGAAAGTGTCCTCAAAGGTCAGAAAGTGTCCTCAAAGGTATGCTTGGGACCTCATAGGATTCAATAGATATTTTCAGAACTTTAATATTTCCAGAGAAGAGAGAGGGAATTATCACGGGAAAACGCCAAGCCATGGCGACTATACGGGTCTCCACAAATGAAGAACAGAAGAATAAATATGCCACAAGCAAAGTTGTTTATCTGTCATTACCTGCTTCACCTCAGCAAAGTCCGCATCAGCTTCACTGACAGGTGTGAACCCGAGATTATGGATTTTATTACAGAAATGTGGATATAACTGTCAGGCGACACTCGTTTGCCGCTAATGCACACTTGGGATAACACTGAGTAATGAGGTTTATGGAGTTTTTTTTTTCAAAACTGTTTGTGCAGGTGTTCCGGCCAGTCATGCAGGGAAAAGGTGTATGGGGCGCGCGTGCGTGTGCGCGTACTCACCAAATTATGCATGCGAGGGGTTCAGCTTTGGCTCTTTGCTTTCACCTCTCAACCGTCAATCAACTGGTGTACAGATTCCTGAGTCAATTTGACTAATCATATCTAATCATTTAAAATTGTGTATGGGGTCGGACTCCCCTACATCACTGATCAGTGTATTCCATTTATTAACTACGCTGAAACTAAACAAAAAAAATTCTTTCTAATGTCTGTGGCTCATTTGGGTTTTCAGTTTCCACCTGTTTTTCCCTTGCGCGTTTAACCCGTGTTAAATAAACTACTATATATATTATAACGTTAAATCTACCGTATCAATTCCTCTGAGAATCTTGTGTGTGGTGATGACGTCTTCCCTTTCTCTGTTGGTCTGGTGATTAAAGTGATTTTACAAGCTCGTTACAATTACATTACTGATATTAATTGTTGCATTCCACAATAAAACTTTGGTACAAGTCCAGTATATCATTGAGTGTTTTAATATTCAGATTATATATGCAGAGTTCAACATATCTCAATCCAGAGGATCGGAAGTCAATCAAGTTAGGGTATTCTACAAAATAATCTCCTCTAGAGAATGTACGTTTTCTCTCTCACAAGTTTAACATAATTTATAATATATAGCATTATATAATAACGGTGTTTTGTTACTTAGAAAATACTGAGAAAGTTGGAGGATACTGATCCAGATCACTTATTTAAAAAGGACAAAAATAACGCACCCGAGTGAAGTTTAAGCTTAACAAGCTATTGTTGGATAGATAATAGATGCTTTTTTTCCCATCATATGAAACGCTATGCGTACTAGTGGCTTTAGGTATTGTATGTACTAGCTCTATCTATAAATCAATCAAAATGTTTGTAACGCTGCATCTATGTATGTACTTTTCCTAAATAAAATATTATTATTATTATTATTATTATTATTATTATTATTATATCATGGCATCATCCATCAAGTCATCATCCATCAAGGCATCATCCATCATGGCATCATCTGTCCGCCGAAGCCTTAAATGTCAAGGCATTTTCAATCCATCCAAACTAGCAAGTACAGGGACTTGGGACACTGCAATAAGTTCGTGCCAATAGTCTCTGAGACTCTGGGAACTTAGGGTAAAAAATGTGGACGAAAGTTTCTTAAGTCCATCCAAGTGATATATATATAACCAGCTTTTCGGTGAATATACACTGTTTACTTTAGTCCTGGACTATGTTCAGGACTAAAGTATTTTTTCTGGTTGGTCAGTAAGCTGTTGTTACCTCAATAACCTTCTATAGGTTAAACAACAATTAACAACAATCAAACACAATGAGGAAACCTTTGACAAGCTGCTAGCTTTATGTCCCCGTGATGACAAAATATATATATGGTGGTGCCTAGTTAAATAAATTTAGCTTCAACAGTGAAAGTTGTATCCGGAATTTAATTTGAAAATGTCTCCCCATAAAACTATTTTCTTTATTTAAAACGACGTGTTACTCATAGAAAATGTTTTAGGGCTAACTAAACTTTGAGAAGTGGTCTTTATATTTTATTTTTAAGTTCATGGGTTTTTGTAATAAATTTCTGCGAAGGCCGCCACGTCGAGGATTTCTCAAGTTGCATTTTAAAAAAAGCCTTTTCTTTGTATTTATGACTTCGGCAAGCAGCTGAATGGCTGCCCGCCGAATTACTATGGCTTATTGGTGAAATATCACTTCTTAAGTCATACCTCGTTCCTTGTAGAGCTTGTGGGCTGTTGTCCTTTTCGTGAGAATAACAGTTTACCCTTTCAAGAAGCAGTTTAGATTAATGACTTTCATTCTGTTCAGTATTTTAAAGACCGCAGTCATCTGAGAGGGCTTATTGTCACACTGCAATTTTTTTTTTTTTAAGACTAGGTCTCCATGCTTAGACTTGTAGTATATAAAGCTAGGGTTAACCAGAAATTTGTACCGCTTAATAAACAATTTATTTTCTAGATGTTCGTTTATTTTCAGGAGATGGTTTGGATTTTGTGCCAGATGCCGGAGCTCCAAATTGCTGAACAGCTCTCATTGACTGGGTAATCGTTACTCTGAGGTCTTTGCATTTATTTTTAACCTGCAGTAGAGCCGCATTGTTTATATAGTAAGGCAATTATGAGGAGAAAGCGCTAAGTCAGTATGATTATACAGCACTTGGATAAGGTAAGAAGTCAAAGAGCTGGGATATGAGGGTGGAGTGAAGGAACGGTCCCCAAACACTTTGACTAGAACGCCAGCCCTGCAGCAAGCGAGAGCTTCGCTCTACCGACCAGTTTAAGTCGATGAGCCTGTCTTATTTATAATAGGTAATTATGAATTGTGTTGCTACGTCCCATCTCGGCCCAGAACTTGGGTACACTATCCAAGAGTGACGTTAGATTAACGTTATCAACATTAAGTTAATGTTGATAACGTTGATTCAATGTTGAAATACCGTTACTCTTGTATAGTGCGCCCACTGGGAACTAGGCACGTTGGCCAGACGATGATACATGGATAAATCAACGTCGATAACGCTGATTCAACGTTACTCTAATATGTTTTGTCCGTTGAGATGTATAATGTCTTGCATTTTTCAGTATTTCAGACCATTCATTTGCCAGTCTTCTTACCACGTATAGAGTTCACGTTGAACAGTTTGTATAATCTGACTAATTTTTCTTCCCAAAGGATTTTGCGTCAACTGGAATTACCGTTTGAAAATAACTAATTTCTGGGTAGGACATGGATGCGCTGATCCTCCCTTTATATAGGGTTATGGAGGACGAGATCTGACCAGTGCAGGAAAGGTCGTGTCGTCCAAAGTAGCGTCCCCCCCTCTCCTCCTTTTTTTAACAGAAGGTTCTACCACACCATTCTTCTACGCTGGTGCAAAGACCTTACTTTCTTTCTCTCTCCCCAGCCCGGACACCTAACCGACGTCCAGGGGCGGCCCCTCACGAGTGATCCCTCCGGGAGGTGCTCTAGTGATTCGAACGGGAGCCCTACGTTGATCTCCTGCACACGTACATCACCCTAAGAGTGTGCCGAGGTATACCCCCCACTTACCCAAGTGAGTCGTACTCAAGCCGCTTACCATGAGGCGAGACTTCCGAGGGTGATAAACATAGCATGTATCAAAGGGGGGCCTCTTGTAGCTATCTATAACACTCATGACGCTACGTTAAGCACCGATGAAACTATAGTCTGTAAATACAGAACTAATACGTGAACAGTGCTTCCCTCATCATCATCTCTGGCTTCGTGGAAGTCGATCAAGTCACCAATTACTTTAGCTACTATATAATCATTATGCAAAGTGTCAGCCCTTATTATATATACACGTCTGTTCCACGTTTATGACTGAAGATATCCAAGAGTATGCTACAGAAGTGATGGAATTTCTTAATTAAGGATTCGTGCTTTAGTACTAATAATTTATTGTTTACAAAATTCGAGCATAGTTTAAAACACTAAAAACACACCCGATTATCAGTGTAACCATTAAAAAAAATTTACATATAATCTTCGGCACTTTAATTAATTCTCTCATTACTCCCATTACTGTTACTTGCTGAACATAAAACGAGGCCAAATCAAACAACTTTAGTGTACTGATACTGTCATATTGATGAGAAGACACGACGTTGAGTGGTGATGTCACTGTACCTGATTATTACTTTCTTTAGGTACAGGGGGGGGGGTCAGGTACAGGGGGGGGGTCAGGTACAGGGGGGGGGTCAGGTACAGGGGGGGGTCAGGTACAGGGGGGGGGTTCAGTTACAGGGGGGGGGTCAGTTACAGGGGGGGGGTCAGTTGCAGGGGGGGTCAGGTACAGGGGGGGTCAGGTACAGGGGGGGTCAGGTACAGGGGGGGTCAGATACAGGGTGGGGGGTTAGGTACAAAGTGGGGGGGTCAGGTACAGGGGGGGTCAGGTACAGGGGGGGGGTCAGGTACAGGGGGGGGGTCAGGTACAGGGTGGGAGGGTCAGGTACAGGGTGGGGGATGGTCAGGTACAGGGGGGGGTTCAGGTCAGGGGGACGGTTACTGTAGAGGGTCAGCTGCAGTGAGTTGGATTCAGAGGCCAGGTACACAGGCTTATATATGTAAAGGTTTTCATACCAGGCGCACTGATGACGCGTGAAATCAAAACACAGCCGCCAGAGGCTTAGAGCTCAAACGACAAGATTGTTCCTGAGAGTGAGGACGAAATTGTGGAAGGTGTCAATGAAGGTCGCCCACACCGTGTCATCCGGTACGAAGGACCTGACCCCAGTCGCCATCATCCCCGCCAGCCTGACGAACATAATGTACTCTATCACCTGGATTACATATTTGGTAAGAGAACTTGATGGAAGTAAAGGTAATCACGAGGAAAAAGCAGTATGACTTGATTGCACATTGAAAGGACAAGAGGACAAGGAACTGGGATAGGACTGAGCTAAAGAATGGAGCCCAACCACTTGGAACATCAGGATTTTAACACAGACCTGCACGAAGGCGAGGTATCCACTCTACTGAAAAGTCCAAGTGCTTGGGCAGACCTGTACGAAGTGATAATTTAGCGAATCAAATGTAAGTGTACTCTAAGCACATATCTGAGGCATTTTACAACTGTTTAAAGATGGACCATTTTAGTCTTGTGGCTAGTGAGGGATGAAGTACAAGGGCGAAGAGTTAAATTAGAGAAATCCAAAGAAACCTGAGGACGGCATTGAAGAAACGTACCCAAGCCCATATGAAGCGAGGTTGGCGAAGAACCGTTCTTGAAGATTTGGGTACATGAAGAGAAGCGAGATGCCAGTTAACACAACCATGGTCATCACTGCCGGAACCTTCAAAGCAAATTTCTGTCCAAGGAGATTGAAAGACATAAGTCTCTTAATGCAGCAAGGGTGACCATACAGTTTACTTTGCAATATAATAAGCATTAAAAAAGAGTTGAAGAAGCAGCATTGGTGCTTACATAGCAATCAGTTGAAAGGAAACTTTTGAACACCTGAATATTTAAAATTCAAGCATTTGGGCAGTTTTGAAGAATGAGTTTGATTAAAATTTCCATCTGAGCAATTCGAACATGTGTTATCAAGATCCTCTTAGCTACATAGCAAGGCTTTGGATAATTAAAAAGGGTGCTAGATGTGAAAGATATCCACTGTTCATGTGTGTGTAAGGCGAGGAGGAGCCCGTACGAGGAGACAATCACGAGTGGTCTTGTTACTAGAATAACGTTATTATATTGATATACATGTGTGTGTGTGTGTTAGCAGCGAGAGTTCTCAAGTGTAAGGCCACAGGAGATGACACTGGGTAAAAGAAATGTTTGTACGAAGCCTTGCCAGTAGGCCATGGAGAAGCTGGGAAGATGGAGGGAGTTAGGGTAAGGAAGAAGTGAGGCATGGAGGTGGAAGAGCTACAGAGAGGGGAAGGGAGAGATGGAGGCATTAGGGAAGAAAATAAGTGGAAACACATAGAATGAATAAAGAACAATTAAAATAAAATCTAGAAATAAAAAATAAATTATTTAAAACTAGAAATAAAGAAGATAAGGAGGTGACTCGCCTCTATGAGGTTGCCAACGAAGTGGACAGCTTGGCCGCTGTAGGCGATCCCTGTGCCTGTCCAAGACACCCCCAGACCCACTGCCGACACCACCGCCGACACTGCCGACACTACCGCCGACACCAAGATTGGAGTCAGCGACACCACCTGTGTGAGGGAGAAGAATCGTCTGCTAATCTGTGGACTCCTACTGGCTGTCTCTGCTCCTAGGTTGGTTACTGATCTCTGACCGGCTCTTGGTCCCTGGTTACCTTAACTATTGACCAGCTCTTGAACGCTAGTTGACTGATCTATGACCGACTCTTAGAATATATATAGAGAAATATGCAGAAGATCAAAAGAGTCAGGTAAATGGCTTCCCTAAAATGTCTAGCCAAAGCAACCCACCTAACCTATCCTGGCAGATATATAGTAAATATACTGAGGGGTTTAATTTTACTAATGCATCACATTTTTAGCAAAGTGATCGATTCCATAAAATTGCGATGTATAACGTAAGTGGACGGGTTCCGCCCTGTATATGGGTGACGGGGAAGGGAGGTTAGATTTCAATGGGGCCGTCTACAATGGGTATAAAGGCCTTATCGTGGTATTCACTAATTATGTTCTTGTACGTTTCTCTTAACCTTTCCCTTAGTATATTGCCCTTCTATTTCTTCCAGACTGATTCCCCCTATGCTATCTCTTTACAACACATCACGCCATACTGCACAACCACCCCCACACACCCAAAAAATACTCTTACCCACCCACTCAAATCCCTGAACTCCTTAAGAAATTAAGACGAGTACGTCGACATTTACCTGTGTGAGGAGGGAGGCGTAGGAGAGGGCAGGATAGAGGTAGGCCGAGATGTCTCTCACTTGCCTCCCAGTCTGGCGGACGGTGCGACGCAGGTCTGCCACATGCTCCAGCTTCTTCTTATCCCACATGCTCACGGCCACCTTGATTATGGCCTCCAGAACACCTGCAAAACACCGAACCATACTGCCTGTATTGACCTCGAACTTCAACCAACCATAGTCTGTATTGACCTCGAACTTCAACCAACCATACTGCCTGTATTGACCTCGAACTTCAACCAACCATACTGTCTGTATTGACCTCGAACTTCAACCAACCATACTGTCTGTATTGACCTCGAACTTCAACCAACCATACTGTCTGTATTGACCTCGAACTTCAACCAACCATACTGTCTGTATTGACCTCGAACTTCAACCAACCATACTGTCTGTATTGACCTCGAACTTCAACCAACCATACTGTCTGTATTGACCTCGAACTTCAACCAACCATACTGTCTGTATTGACCTCGAACTTCAACCAACCATACTGCCTGTATTGACCTCGAACTTCAACCAACCATACTGTCTGTATTGACCTCGAACTTCAACCAACCATACTGTCTGTATTGACCTCGAACTTCAACCAACCATACTGTCTGTATTGACCTCGAACTTCAACCAACCATACTGTCTGTATTGACCTCGAACTTCAACCAACCATACTGTCTGTATTGACCTCGAACTTCAACCAACCATACTGTCTGTATTGACCTCGAACTTCAACCAACCATACTGTCTGTATTGACCTCGAACTTCAACCAACCATACTGTCTGTATTGACCTCGAACTTCAACCAACCATACTGTCTGTACTGACCTCGAACTTCAACCAACCATACTGTCTGTATTGACCTCGAACTTCAACCAACCATACTGTCTGTACTTCAACCAACCATACTGTCTGTACTTCAACCAACCATTCTGTCTGTACTGACCTCGAACTTCAACCAACCATACTGTCTGTACTGACCTCGAATGGCAACCAAACCCCTGCAGGCAAAACACGTTCGAGTAACATTAAATCAACGTTTATTCTATGTTGAATCAACGTGGTGTTTGCCCTACATGTGACCACTGGAGGTGTTTATCAATGTTGCGATTACAAGTACAACCTAATTTACACTTAACCTTATGGCTAAAATCTGCAATGTAAATTTTACTCGTGTAGGGATTTTAACTTCTTAATGATCGAACCGCTTCAAGAAGTCGGTCAAATTTGTACACGTTACATAAGCTATACTTTGTCAAATTGGGTAGTAAAATTATTAAGTTGTTCAAAGCATTTGACGCTTAAGAAAATTTTTAAACATTTATGTTTACTCCACGTCAGGGGAGCTGTATCGCTGTCCGATTGAACGTGAAAAACATGGAATTTAGAGACAGCTCTTACTACTGACGTTCAAGAAAATGACTAAATATTCATTCAAAATTATATAATGTCCATATATCCAAAACTGACAGCTTAAAGTGGCGAATGCACATGACTGTAATATTCCTTTTGCCGCCCACTAGATGACTGTTTAGGGAGAAGTGTATCAAGCAAATAAAGAGCAAGTACTTCAACATATTCAACAGTATAGAACAATGAGATCCAATTCCACACAACCTATTACGTGACTTCGTCAACATTGCCCACAGGATGAATACAAGGTTAGGTTATGATTAAACTAGTCAAGGTGTTACGAACTGACCAGTCAAACAATAATTTGAAATTACTGTGTTGTCACTATCATTTAGGTAACGTAAGAGAAGAATTAGGCAATAATTGTCCGAGAGATATTTTGATTCGGTTAACTTTCAGTTGGTGATCACTTAAGATAAGTCTAAGGGAGGAGGTGATGTTGCCTCTTCATCGAGCCAACTCTCAACAATTGAGCCAAGACGATGAGCACTTCCCACCTTTGACACTCTGGGGGTCATCCTGCTGTTGCTGCTGCTGCTGTTGTTGCTGCTGCTGTTGATTCAGCAGCTGCTGCTGTTCTTGTTGCTTCAACAGCTGCTGTTGCTGCTGTTGCTGCTGCTGCAGCTGGTGTTGGTGCTCCCCCATATGGGAAGGTCCTTGTCCCGCCGCTCTTAATACCGTCCACCACAACCACACTCCCACAACCTGCCTAAGAAAACAGCTTTTACAAATTTACAGTGTGTTGATCAAACTAAAGTACCACCATGCTAGAAAAAACATTCTGAATCCTAAGTATTTTTTATAGCAGCCAAGATACAAATGGTGGATGAAAATCACTGCTCTCGCCTAGTCTGTCTGTCGGTTAGTTTAAATATCTAATGTAAATAAGACGCACCTTACGTGGGTTCTCTGGTACACTTATTACACCATTCCTGTCTTCTGGAGACAGGAGTTACAACACCCCTGAAGTTGAAGCCAAGGCTGTCACACTTACTCTAGTAAACAGAGGTAAATCACAAATATATTCATTTAATATTCCCCTATCTCATGAATCTTGCCATTTAATTCAAGCCACCATAGTAGCCATTTTCTCAGTAGTCAGCAAATATAATTCCGCCTCTTTAAGCGCATTCTGTATAATGCTTTAGGGAGTATTATATCCGATCCTCCTAACTCCTGACCAGGGAGTTAACCTGCATTCACCTCAAACACTTGCGATCACCTTCCCCTATACTCGTCGATAGTTTCTATACAACACATGGCGGTCACAGCATCACTTTGATATCCTTACCTTCTATATGTTATCATATCGCCTTTATCTAGATAGTTATAGCCAAAGAATACAATGTATACACAAAGTTTCGTCACGTCCCCTCCCTGGCTGGCTGGCTGGTTGGCTGCCAGGCTAAGCCGAGTGCTTTACTGACGTGTCATCACAATGATTCCGAACCCATGAATGGGATAAACAAACTAGGAGATTCTAAACACCCCGAAATCATGTTCGAAGCTGAGAAACACAAAGTTTTGCTCACGTTAAACATGTCACATACACAAATGTGTCTGCCCTTCCAAAAAACAAAATCACCTCGGGTTGACAACATATTTGTCATATAATATTATTATCCAAGTGTCGGTATTTGACATGATCCACAGGAACTTGTTCGAAGGTAAGACTCGAGACGTGAATAGCTCACTTCCAGCCTGGACTGTAACCACTTCCTGAATCACAATAACGAAAACTCCTTATCTAGGACAGCGTCGCCCCTAAGTCAACAACACCTTATCTAGACCAAGCTAGATCTAGACTTATCTAGATATAAGCTCCAATAAATAATAATAATTTATATGTGAGAAAAAACCTTTGTTATTACATCGTATTAAAGAGTCATCATGTAAGTTGGTTGCCAGATGTATATATCAAAAACTGACAATAAAATCTGTAGTCTTGTAGTCAAAAGTGACGAATGGGGTGAATATAATTATGAGTATTACTATATACGAGACCGAGTTGTGGTTCCGACACTGAAACATATCTCCTAAAGCATATTTATTACCCATGGAGAAAATAGTGCAGGACGGGATATATACTGACTGTGAGGTGAACCTCGCTTCTCGGTGTGTATATACTGAGAGTTCACTGTTGTCCTGGGACTTGTTGAGGACTAAAGTATACTTGGTTGGTCAATAAGTTATTGTGGTGGCTTTAATAACCCCGCACAGCCAGACAGGCCACAAGTCTAACAACAAACCATACTGAAACATATGGGATATTTTTAAATATGTGCCGCGCAGAGGTGGTGGTGGTGTGTGCTACAGTGGTGGTGAGTTTTAGAGTTATGGTTTCTGTTACAGTTTAAAAACTCTACTGACTCTGTCATTCTACCCATTTCGTGAATTATTTTTTCTAGTGTTTTGACTACCACGCTTTTTAACGATACAGACCAATCATTTAGAGGGTCTTCTCTGCTACCATTTTTGTAGATTAACATGTTTAGTGATTAATCAGTTAATCATCTTGAGTGTAAATCACCAGTACCATTTTGTTGACTTCTCGTGAGCTATCAATCATTAATTCTCTTATCTTTGCAAGTCTATTAAGATATTTCATAGAAATGTATATCCCTTCTTCCACCTTCTCCTCTGCTCCTCCTCACAAGGAGAGAAGGACAGAAGTTGAGTTATTTGCAACAATTGCAAAAGATTAATCACAGAGGAAACTAGAAATGTCTGTAATAATAGAAGGTGTAAAGCAGAAGGATTAAAGCTTGCAGAGTAGAGAACCACAGCTTGTCAAAAGCCTCAGAAATATCCAAAATATTCGTGTATGCGAGTGTTGTGCCAGAGAAGATCCCCAGTAAAATGAACCTAACGAAATCCAGGATTATATCCTTTTTTTTATTTTAGGATAGATTCAATCCTATGTCTATTTCAGACAATAGACATAGGTAATATAGTTGTTCTTAAAGGGATTGTTACGGTGACCTTTCTTAAGGGCTGGTTGAACGGTGACCTGTCGTAGGGACTGGTTGAACGGTGACCTGTCGTAGGGACTGGTTGAACGGTGACCTGTCGTAGGGACTGGTTGAACGGTGACCTGTCGTAGGGACTGGTTGAACGGTGACCTGTCGTAGGTACTGGGTGAACGGTGACCTGTCTCAAGGACTGGTGAACGGTGACCTGTCTCAAGGACGGTGTGAACGGTGACCTGTCTTAAGGACTGGTTGAACGGTGACCTATCTTACACAGGTTGAACAAGAGAATGCCTCCAATATGAGTGGAAAGTCAGAGGGGGCCGGGCGAACAGCAGCGAAGCAGGCGGGCCTCGAAAGCTTTAGGAACCTGCTTAACTGATACGAAGAAGCGGCCACAGGAGCGGCCAGAGGAAAAACTGGTCAGGGAGGCTGGAGTTGTGTCCAGGTTTAAAGTAAACGAGACTGATTATGCAAGCGAATTTGTCAGTGGAAGTTTCGCGTTATCAGATCAGCGAATATATGGCAACGAAGGAAAATAATGACTGCAACATTTATGACATAATTGTTTATTTGAGACTCTGAGAACTCTCTCAAAACGTGACGATTTTGCCTCACCTCACCTCACATCTCGTGCAACCTGTCTTCACATTTAAGGCCCTAAAGGTTTGGCCATATCTACCACAGCGTCAACATACCGGTAATTTCGTGAAAACAAAAGCTTTGTCAAAAGCTTTGTCACGAACGCTCTTTTGTAGGGCAAAAACCACGTCAGATATCAAGTTTAGCAAATCGTTAGAACGGGGCTGTTTAATTAGATGCCTTAGTTGCGTTGCGAGGGACAGACGTAACATGCTTATTTTAATAGATATATATATATAGAGTGGTTGATTGCAAATGAAAATTGCAGCCAGGAAGGCTCTGTTCCGCCAATGAATTGCTTAAGAACATTGCATATTAAACAATGGTTTAGAGGAGGAAGGGTGGAAAGGAACAAACTAGAAATATATATATAACATGATAGTTACCATGCTATTTTGTGTACTATGTCAGTGACTGTTTCACCATACAAGGATGTTTCGTGTGACAAGAATCTTGTCACCCAACATAATATCAAGCTGTCAGTTTCCACGATTGGGCCAGTCAGCCGAACTAAGGCGGAGATAAAGCTTAGTGATTGTGGAAGAATGCACCACGGAAGAAGATGCAGAGATGAAGCAATGATCAAATCTCAAGGCGAGATAAACGTGATTATATGGTGGCTTGGGAATTGAACAAATTCCCAAAACATAACAAAAGTGGGATTGCTTGATTGTTTCACTCGTAGGATAAACATATATATATGAGTAAAGTTTGTTTATAAACAGGAGCTGCCTTACATGGGTATTTAAGGCTTTATCCTCTCTTCTTATGTTCTTTCGAGAAATCACTGGATAGTTAAGATAAGGATAAAAGTTAAAAAAAAAATTGTTTCAGATCAATTAGAGTAGAAGTTGCTCACATTTCCCTCTTCCTGCAGAAGACTGAATCCTTCTTTTATATTGAATGCCTCAAAATGGCGTAGTTTCAGTTAATAAAATAAGATGACCAAGATTTTCTGACTTGGTGAACAAAATGACCAAAGAAATAAAGTAGTTCAAAGAAATAATAGCGTCAGCAGATAAAAATAGTGCCACGTGAGATTATGATCTTGAACAAATGGGTTGACATAAGATTCAAGAAGATTCTGACTTGAGAATAATTGTCAGCTGAAATAACGCTACAAACCTAAGTTTATTTGTATTATTATTATTATTATTATTAATAGTACAGATCGGTGCAGTTTTAACAGTGACATCTTGGTATAAAACTGTATTCGTAATCTCTCCTTAGAATATCCATTGTTAATTTTACATCACGACAAGTTAAATATTTCATATATTGCAATATTAATATTCAAACAAACTTGTACTGTAAATTGCAGTGATACTGTTTAGGCGTTTTTGCCAGAATCATACATTACATTATACATTATTTTCAAAATAATGTATAATGTTTTCTTGGAAGTCAAAGTTGGAGGTACTTGGTCCTAATGAAGGTGAAAGGTCACGCTAGGATGTAGAACGTTAGACTGGATGACCTTCTGCTTGTCAACAGGTCAAGCTCACATTATATGTTTGGACAGTCATGTGCACGGGCACTAGGTCAAGACCCACCCGTTCCTATGTTGAGAATGCCATATGTGGTTCATAAGGTCAAGCTCCATCTCAGTTACTATGCTCAGAAGGTCATGTACGGGCTGCCTGGTCAATCTCTCGCAGGTCATCTGTGGGTCACTTAGCTGAAGCTAATTCCTCTTTCTCTCCGAGCCTAAAGTCATCTGATGGTCACCAGGTCTAGGTCAGCTTATTCCTATGTTCCAAAGGTCATCTCATCCTCAACATGTTCTGACCATTGGCGTTTCTTCTGAACCCTTTTAGTCACGTAACACCCATGAAATATTTTGAATAAATGAGGTGTCGTGAAGTTTCCCTCCATGACCTTCACAATGCAGTAGTTGAACTTTTACCCTCGGCTCTGACAGGCTGCGCGACTCAACGCCCTGTTGCAGACCAGTTGGCATTCAACACTTGAGGCCTAATTCTTCAAGGCCGTAAAATCCTGAAAGCTTCCTTGCTACTTAAATATTTTTTATTTGATTATCTTAAAACTTACAGATTAAACCATTATATATAGCTGAACGTCGTTTAAGGAGCCCCGTTTTCTCAGAGTAAATACAGGGTAAACTGAAGCCAAGTCACGGGCGTGGCAACAAGGGTAGCGGACTGAAGGCACAGAAAGAGAAAGGAAGGTGGCCGTGGATCAGCACGCCCTCCAACACTAGTGATCGCTCTCTCGTGCTGACACGGCGTTTCCTCTGAGGATCTCTCCTTTCCATCTGGCTCGCTTGTACGCGCCTACTTATCGCCACACTTGTCCTCAGAGTAAGGAAATCAAGCATCTCTGTGGGGATGCTTGGCATCTTGACGCATCATGTTGTGTTGCAGGATTTTGCTCGTGTGACTGACGTTCGGCTGACGTTTATCTCAAGGAATATTGCAAGAATTCTCCAGTGGCACTAACTATTGCATTGATACCATCCCGCAGTGAATTTTCCTTTCCCATAAGAAGTTTTGACCATTTTTTGTGGCATTATATTCAATCATCCCACTGAGATAATAGATATATATTATCTCAGAGTTCTTCATGTATCGTAAAACTGTAGCGATACTTAAAAAGTATCGACCCGCTTCAATAATCATGTAAAAGAAAGAGTTACAACGAAGGAATAATAAAATTAACCAAAAATTGGCATAAACAAAATTTTTAAAGTGAACTATGTATTTCTATATTATTTAACGCAGAACTTTAATTGTGGCAGAACATTGATTGATAATTGTTGCCCCCCGGAGGCGGCTAGTTTATTGTACACCCCCAAACTCATTCTGTGATCGGTAGCGCAAAAAAAAAGGAATACAAAGAGCACAAAAGGTCTTTATGAGACCTCAACGGAGACTATTTCATTAACAGTGCAGTCGCAAAGCAGACGATAAGTCACAATATCGTGGCTGAAGATATTATGATTAAACCACACACCAGAAGATGAGGAGACGACGACGTTTCGGTCCGTGCTGGACCATAATCAAGTCATTGTAATAGTCGACTTGATAATGGTCCAGGACAGACCGAAACGTCGTCGTCTTCTCATCTTCTGGTGTGTGGTTTAATCACCAGTGCAGTCACAACATTTTAATATGAGTGTTCTTTGAATCCCTCTAGAATCATTAGCTCCATTGCATATGTATTCTATCAGTTCAACTGATACAATGTTGTTTTTATTATCACGCTGACGCTTCACTCCAATCATAAGATTTATTTAAAATATTCAATCTTGAATGCATGGTATATTTAGTTCTTTCCGCATTTTGAGGACTTTGGTGGTTATTGGACAGCCAAGTATAATTCTGAGGGTTTCACGTTGTTCACTTTTTCCATTCTATCAATACTTTTACAATTATGAAGAACTAAAGTTGGTGCATGATAGTCTATCAGAAACATTATATATATTATGTACATTATTTCTGCTATTCTAAAATAAATACCGTATTGAGGTTTACAGTTCTACGAAAGCCTTGTGTCTGTCTTTACATTGTTGATGTAACTTTCTAACTGCAGTTAATGTACAAGGAACTGAGACACCAAGAAACAGGAGACATAGGATAGTGGTATGTTATCAAACTTTGTTGATTACCAATTTTACTGTTTCTGCGCCGTTGATTGCAAGAACAAGGCTCTCACAAACTGTATGTATGCAATTTAAGGTTATTTGCATTTCGATTGGGTTTTTATATGTACAGGGATATGATTTTACGTGTGTGTGTGAGTGCGTGCGCTCGAGTGCGTGCATGTGCGTCTTCCTTCGAAAAATCAAGCGTACATGTGTACGTGTCTTCAAAAGTAACAGGTCTTGCACTCTGAATATGTACAACTTTCACAAACAAGTTGATCATACAAGACCAGTTTTTGCATCTCTCATTTTTAATTTCGGGAATGTCAGTCGCCTCGGAGCGGAAACTTTCTGGTATTTTGCAAACAATAAAAAATAAAGAGAGGAAAACTGATTGTTAGAAAGTAAGACTTTTTTTAGTAAGACTTGTGGAGTGTTCTCACGCCATCTTATTGTTCTCGAACATGTAAAGCTTTGATCTGTTTTCTTCTGTGGGAAGAAGCCTTATAGCTGAGTGGTTCAGCGATACCAATGTCGACTCAAAAGTTCGTCTTACAGCTTGTTGGGTTGACATTTGATGTCTTGTTTGTGCTGAGTTGCATACTCTCTGAAACTTCCCTTGTGTTTATATATATATATATATATATATATATATATATATATATATATATATATATATATATATATATATATATATATATATGTGTGTGTGTGTGTGTGTGTGTGTGTGTGTGTGTGTGTAGAGAGAGAGAGGAAGTTCTTGTCTAGCTCCTCCTCATGGTCTTGCTCTGGAGCCTCCACTGTTGATGAAGCGAGACGTGGTTGTGCATTGATTTACTTTTCTTGTTTACCATTCTACTGGCGGAGCAAATGACGACGTAGGTCGTTCTCCTTCAGGTATCTACGCACCCAACAATAGCCATTGGCTGGCCCTCATACTCCCGTGGTTACTGAGCATGCGTACCTTGTGCTTAGTAACCTGACGTGGTAGTCATTCAGAGAGTCCTTGACACAGATATATACGTGTAGTATGCTGCACTACAGCTGTAGTTCGGGTACTACGCACGTGTAGCATAGTGTGTAGTGTAGTGTAGTGTGTAGTACCCGAACTCTACCTATGTGGAGGTGTGTTCATGTAGCTGGATACACAACAGAAACGACGCAATACTAATATAAAAATCGAGAGGTATTGAAGAAAATATTCAGGAACACCTTGACAAGCTTTAGGTGCGGTAAAACAAATGGTTGCTAGAATAAAATTCCAACAAAGGTTTATGGTCATGAACATCGGAAAGGGAGAAAGGAGGCAAAGGGATATGTACACCATTTGGAAAACTACTTGGATTAATTAATACCTTGACGGCCTGGATTCTTGCAAAGTTGGTGTTTGATCCCCGTTGACCCAGTTGGATTGGCACCGTTCCTTCATCCCGGTCCTCCGTTCCCAACTCCTTGTTGTCATATCCCAGCTCCTGCCAAATGTTGGCTTAACGCTTTTTCTCATAATTACCTTACCTTATCACTCTGAAAGCATAAAACTCATTAACAGCGGTGGAACACGTAAACCTCACTAACAGCGAAGGAGCATATAATCACGTTAACATCAGCAACGTATGGGAATCTGACAAGCATTTGAACGGCATGTTTAACCCTAAATAAAGAATCTTTTTTAAGGTAATACTACGTTATTTGTTTCAGTTTACTTTGAAGTATACAATCTGAAGCTGCACTTATCTGCAGAGATTCAAATTAAATTACAATTATGCGTAAATAGCCATTCGTGTACGCGATTTTTTATTTCTTGAAGTCAGCTTGATATGGTGGGCAGCCTGTTGTCGCAGGGCATTCCATAATTTTCCGTATTTCGGGTGATAAGAGAGTAAAAATTCCTCTGTACTTGCTGAGGATACATCTTTCTGGCAGTCATATATCGCACCTATCGTTAGGTAGTCTTTTTATTGAGGGAAGTACTCGGGGAAAACTTATAAATGGGGGGGTTGTGGAATTTTGTAGCTTGGTTGAATACACACACCAACCGCATCTCTTCTGTATTGGGATTTGGATGGACCGCACTGAGTCAACACATTTCATTTTTAATCCATCCACCTGGGCTCTACGAGCCTAGAACCGCGGACCCCCACGCATGTGAGCCTGAAGCTCTATCGAAAGAGCTAATGAGTAGTCTTAATAAGGAATATTTCCAGAAGCGGCATTTCCTTTACAAATACATTAGGGAATCACAAAAGCTGTTCCCAAGGTTAAATTACCTTTTACCGTATGGTGGTCCAATGGGTTAAGGCGTGCGTCTAGGGTGTCCCAGAACACTAGTTCGATGCCTTTCCTGCCCTATTGATTTTCACATTAACTTTCCTTCTCACTAGATACGCAGCTTTGTCTTAGTTTTTCTAACACTTTTAGATTAGACTGTTGACAGCAATACCGTATTAGTGGTGAGTACTCCATAATATATTAGATTTGAAAGTTGTGGTGTTATGCATGTCTTAGTATTTAGGTGATGTGCTGCTCTCCGTTAGCGAGCTTGTTGCATAGCGCCTTTCGCTGCAATACTTTCCGGGTATTTGTGGTAAGCGATGCTTTGTGTGTGAGCATGCAGCAACCGCAGATACGGCTGCGTCACAAACCTTCGTAATAACACCAGTTGGATCGTTATGATCGTAATTTTCCTTATTGCGGAAGTCATTTCCGTCACGAGACGGAAGCTTCGTGACACTCTTCCGAGGCGGAGAGTGACCGCCTCAGGAGAGTAAGAAACGCCATTCGTAAACAGTTTGTTAAAACGCAACGTAACCTTCAAGAACGAGATAAGAAGGAAAAGTTACGAAAGAACTTGCTTAATGAGTCCGTGCCGTGGGCGTGGAGGATCGACGGTTCATTGAGCTTTAACCGTTTGTTTACCAGTCGGTAATTTTTTACCAAGTAAAAATAAAAATAAAACAGAAAAACTTGTCGTTGTGACCTTGTTGTTTTCTGCTCGTAATAAGAGTGTTGACTGTAGGAAATGTTTAGTACGCATCCATTATATTAATTTTATTGTAGACACACACACACACATTCTTGATTCTCATATCTGTCCTGGATCCCTATCAAATCCTATAAAGTATGACAAGGGTCCAGGACGGGGCCGAAACATAGTTACTTCCTTTAGTATCAGAAGTGTGGATTTGTTGTCAAATCATCAGCCTTCTAATATTGTAATTAAATATCTGCATGTTGATCACATTGTTTATCGCATCTCCTCTGAGGAGAATGATTCCCTCGTTGCTCACTTGTTGCATACCTTATACAGGGTGCTGAAGGAGGTGCACATGTACTCAGGAGTGCTCATGTACTGTGTCTCGTCTTCAAGTAACTATACTGGATGGAAATACTATAATTACCGGGAGAGGATGAAGTCACCACGCCTCGTATCGTCCTGTTATCTTAGTGTGAGTAAAATTGATCGTGGCCGTATTAGAAAGCAGTTTTCCTGTGTGTACTTTGAACTTCAGTGTGTCACCGTATTTCATTATTAGTGTGTATAGGAAAGGAGGGAAATCGTCTTTCTATATTTCAACTTAAAAAAAGAGCTACAATTATCCAGATCAACGGAACAAATACGGTAAAATAATTATTAGGATAAAACGTTAAGCTTTATCCTAATAAAGAATAATTATCATAATAAAGCATAATCCAAATAAAGTTGCTGCGATATGTGAA